AGTGATGTGAGATTACCTAAGACATATTTAGTTTTACTTGTCCCCATCCCAGATTTGTTTTTTGCTTCTTTAAAAAAATGTGTTTTTTATAATACTATTAAAAGGGAAAAGAAAGATTTAGTATTAAGCACTTAGCATATGCCAGACATTTTATATTTTAGTATCTCAAAATATAGTGCTTAAACACATACAAAATATAGTGCTTGGGATGGACTATCTGGGTTCAAATCTTAACTTTGATATTTCCTACTTATGTGATGGGGGGCAGTTGCCTAATTTCCTCTGCCTCATTTTTCTTTGCCTCAAAATTCAGATAATAATAATAGTCTTCATGGACTGTTGTGAGGATTAAATGGATTTATTTAATTTAGAGTAATACTTCTCATATAGTAAGTACTGTGTCAGGTTAACTACTTTTTATCATTTTTGATCATTACTATTATGCTATAATTATTATGTTATTCTCTACAGAAACACCACATGATAGTGGTTAATATGACTGTTTATACATGAGAAGAAAACACTTTAGAGGGATTAATTATATGCTAAAAGTAACCCAAGCACTGCTTCACTCAGCTCATGATCCTGAAGGAGAAAGTGTTAGAAGTGGCAGGAAGGTGAGAGGGAGCCTTGTGGCTTTGTAAGGAGTTCAGAATTTACTTTGTGTCATATGGGAAAGTCCTGGGATGTTCTGCACAAAGGATTGATAGAGAATAACTTTTACCAGAATCACTGGTGATGCTTTATGGAGAACATTTGCAGATGTGGGGGCAGAACCCTTTTATGAGCTGCTTAAAGGGTCGGGATATGCGTGGGGTGTTTGAATTAGGATGGCAGTAGTGATTAGAGAGGGGTCTGATTGGGGGTATATTTTAAACAAGAAGTCAACAAAAGTTTCTGTACAATTACATGTGGGGTGTAAAAGCAAGGCAGGTGTCAAAAATTCCTCTAAGGGTTTTATTCTGAGCAACTAGGGGAAAAGCCAATTTCTATTTATCCAGCCAGGGACAGCTAGAGGAGGAGAGAGTTTGCAGAAGTGTTGAGACAGAGATTTGACGGACCTTTCTGGAGTCATAGCATAGGCTATATGTGTTAGTGATTTTAATGTAAATCTCAGGGCTTAGGTGATAGAGTTCAAGGAGAAAGTCCAAGGCATGCCGCACAGACCCCTCTAATTTGTAGCTTTGCCGTCTAGAATATTGATGTAGCTTGATGGCCTCCGAGATCTCCAAGGCCGAAGAGAAGGATAGAGGGCAGATCCCAGCTCTTAACTGCCTCTGCTCAGAAGTGATCCACAGCACTTCTGTGGAAAGCCTTGGCTAGAGTTCGTTACATGGGCAGCCACTGATATGTTAGTAAGAAAAGGTATCGTTAAATGTAAGGAAGTGCCAATAATACTTGGCCAGCACTGACTTACCACCTTTCATCCTTCGGTCTCTTCTTAAAAACAGACTATATTCAACCCATTCCTGTTAGAGACAACCACACATATCTCTTCTACTCACTGCAGAAGCCCAATAAAAGCTTTCCAGGATATACTTACTTGTCTTCTTCAGTTACAGGTGGCTGCTCTTACTTCACAGACCTATTCACTGAAAAAACAAGTTATTCATTCCACAGAAACCCAATTATTGCAGAGGAACAGGGAACAGATAACCACAGTCAATAATACTGTTCATAAGAAAGGAGACCGGCACTATCTGGAATGCTGGCCTCTAACCATGTGGAAATCTGCCTGGAAAATGCTGTGATGTTTCCTGCCCTGGGAATAAGAAAGAGTTTCTTAATTTGGGTGTGGTAGTTACCAGGAGGATTCCTGGGTCCACTGTATTCTTTTCCTTATTCCTACCCTTTCTGAGGGTTTTGCTTTCTGTTATTACACATGTGCTGCTTAGGGGAATACTCCATTCTCAGTTATCTCAGGTCCCTTCTTGCTTTTCCAAGTTTAAATGCCTGTGGTTTATTCTGTCTTTAAGTGCCAAAGACATTTTTATTCTAACATTCATGGTTTCTCTAGCAATGCTATTTCTCCACTGACCACGCCCCCAAGTTAGAAAGCTTCTCAACTATTTGCTACAGAGACTTTTAAAAAATCAATTTCAATTATTTTGCATTCTTATCCCTAACTTAAGAGCAGTCACATTGAAGGTATCTGGAACACACTTAGTCTGATATTTCCCTGAGTTTTTTTTCTTAATCACAACTAATATTTACTAAGCATCTGTCACTGACAGTCTTTTTACATCTATTTTACAGTGTTTGGGATCTAGAAGCAGCTCTTTCAATAATGCAAGTCGTTCTATTTCTGAGTTCTCTTTATTCCTATTTATTTGTCTGTGAGGAAACCAATTCCTTTCTAAGTTCATCAATTTCTTCAATCCCTTGCTGAATGTATCCAACAGCAACCCAAACAGACTGCCTGCCAACTTTCTCTTTTTCAACCTTTTCTTTTAGAAGTTCAAGAGACCAGTGATATGAATTCCAAACCGTTGGCAGATGTCTGTATACCATGTACTTTTTCATTTCATAAAATGACTCTTTATTTACTGATGGTATCGATTTCTTTATAGGCCATTATTGAGTAATTGACACAGTGGTAGATTTTAGGTACTTCTTAGAGTAGCAAGTTTCACTCTGAGTCATAACTAGATACGGGCCACTGTGAGTGACAATGAATGAAAGTGAAATGAACCTAGAAACGCAGCTTCCTGGATTACCGTGAAATATTATAAACTTCTTTAATCATTTATGTAGTTGATGGAAACTTGTTATTCAAATAGCTATCCAACATCTAGCATCATGCTGAAAACAAGGACCTGTTTTACAAGGGTAAACCAGACATTCATCAAGGACATTGGATTGCTGGCTGGGGGTTTACTTCATGTAACTGAGAAGATTAGGATGTGAACACCGGGGCATTGGCTCCACTGGCAATACCGTTCTTGGCACTTTCCTTTGACCAGGTCCACAAATGTCTCCCAACTACATTTCTTTACCTACTTCATTGAACTGCTCATGTGGTGTGAATCCTGGCTAAGGATACTTTTTTTCTGCCAGACTGAGATAGTCAAAGATATCTGAAAGGATCGAGTGAGGAATGGTGATAACGTTGTAAAGCATTCTATAAAAGAAGTTTGGATGGGCATGGTGGTGGCAGCCTTTGTAGTCTCAGTTACTCAGGAAGCTGAGGAAGTAGGATTGCTTAAGGCCAGGAGTTCAAGGCTTCAGTGAGCTATGATTGTGCCCGTGAATAACTACTACACTCCAGCCAGGGCAACATGGTGAGAGGCTTTTGCGAAAAAAAAAAAAAAAAAGATTGAATTTACGGGCAAAGATCCTTAGTTCAATGTCTGAAAATAGACTTCTGCTTTCATAGGGTTTGAATGTTGTTTTGTTTAAGAAAAACTAGCTCATTTGGTAAAAACAAAAGGTAGATTGTGAGTGCTTTCATAATAGGCTTCTGTGAGTATGTGGTAATGAGCATAAAGACTGAATTTCACTGGGGAGGCAAACTTGGGCAAGCACAAAGACTTATCATTTACTTCAATGAAGGGCTTAACTGTACCATCAAGTTTTCAATTCTTTTTCATCATAAATCCCATTAATCGACAGTGAATCCAAGACCCTTCCCCCAAAGATCTTAGTTTTTATAAGGTATTTAGATAAAGAAAACCAGAGAAATGTACAATTAACTTAGAGGAAGCTACTGAAAGTTAGACAATTGATTGGGAACAACCCACTGATTTAAAATGACTCATTTATATATTTGAAGATTGAGATGCTGACAAGCAAGGTTAGATTGGTCTGATGCGTAATTTTATGATCAGGATGGGAAGACGCGATGTGATAAGGAATGAATTTAATTGTGTATCACTAGGTGGTTCTCAAAGTGATCTTTAAACTTCCTTCCTTCTTGTTCTCTCGGCAAACAGAAGCACACTCAGGACTGCTTTTTACTTGTGTGACTTCTTCTCTGGTATTTTGGTTACCCCAAGTGTGAAATAAATGGTTGAACTTCACAGAATAATCTACCACATCTGGACTGTGTTACACATATTATAATGAGTAACAATGCTGTTCACTAGAACTTTCCGTGATGGAAACATGGTCTAATTTTCATTACACATTGGGTTAGTCAATGGTTATACTTGGCTACCAGCCACTGTTGAGCACTTGAAATGTCACTAGTACAATAGAGAAACTGATTTTTTAATTTTTAAAATT